AAAAAAAAAAAAAAAGAAACTAGAAATACAGTTGACAGGAATTAAGATCTAAGTAAATGCAAAGCTATCCCATGTTCATGCACTGGAAGACCTAATGTTGCTAAGGTGGCTTGCATTCTCTAACCATATCTACAGATTCAATGTAATATTTGTAAGAATCTTGTCTTTTTTTGTATTTTTAGAAGAAATTGGCAAAGTGATCTTAAAATCCATATGGAAATTCAAGAAATTCCTATTGTTTCAAGCCAAAACAATCTTGAAAAAGAACAAAGTTGGAGGAATCATACTTTCCAGTTTCAACACTTTCTATGAAGACACAGTATCCAAGATAGAGTGTTACTGGCATTAGATTATATAGATCAATGGAACAGAATTGAGAGTTTAGAAATAAACTCATATTTATGGTCAGTTGATCATCAAGAGTTCCAATACAATTCAATGAAGGAAAGAATAGTCTCTTTCAAAAAATGGTACTGAGATAACGGAGTAGACACATGAAAAATAATAAATTTGGACCCCTACTTCACACCATGTACAAAAACATACCTCAAAACAGATCGTAGATCTAATGTAAGAGCTAAAACTACAAAACTCCTAGAAGAAAACGTGGGAGCAAATCTTGTGACCTGAAATTAGACGGTGGTTTCTTAGATATGACAACAAAAGCATAAGCAACAAAAGAAATATTTGATAAATACAACATCATCAGAACTAAAACCTTTTGTGCTTCAAAGGACATCATCAAGAAAGCAAAAGCAACGCACAGAAGGGAAACAATATTTGCAAATTATATATCTGATAAGAAATATATAGTTTCTTATATATAAATAAAGAGCTCTTAAAACTTAAAGAGAAATAATTTAATAGCTATTAGGGATGCTGAGGTGGGAGGATGGCTTTAGCCTAGGAGATTGAGGCCAGCCTTGGCAACAGAGCAAGACCCTGTCTCTAAAAGAAATAAAATTTTTAAAAATGAGCAATAGGTGCCAACAAGCACATTAAAAGATGCTCAACATCACGTAGTCATCAGGAAAATTCACGTCAAAACCACAAAGAAATATCACTCAACACCCAAAAGATGGCCATGATAAAAAAGACTGACAATAACAAATGTTGGTGAGGATATGGAGAAATCAGAACCCTCAGACACTGCTGGTGGGAATTTAAAATGGTACAGCTACTTTAGAAAATAGTTTCACAGTTCTTCGAAAAGTTAAGCATGGAGTTACCATATGATTCAGCAATTTCACTCCTAAATATATAAGGTGTATACTCAAGAGAAAACGTATGTCCACAGAAACTTATACACATGCTCACAGCAGCACAATTCAAAATAGCCAGAAGGTAGAAGTAACACAATGTCCATCAGCTGAAGAAATGAATAGAGAGAATGTAGTATATCCTACAGTAGAATATACTGTTCAGCCACAAAAAAGGAATGAAGTACTGATACCTGCTACCACATGGATGAACCCTGAAAACATGACGCTAAGTGAAAGAAGCCACATATAAAAGGCCACATATTATATAACTCTGTTTATATGAAATATTCACAACTGGATGATCCATAGAGACAGAAAGTTGATTCGCAGTTGCCAGGGGCTGAGGGGAGAAGGGAATGGTAAGCAGCTGCTAATGGGTACAAAGTTTCGTTTGGGGTTAACCAATGTGTTCTGGAATGAGATAGTGCTGCTGGGTGCACAACTTGTGAATATATTAATACCAACAACAACTTTAAAGGAGTGAATTTCATGGCATATGAATTATATCTCTACAGCAATTATTAAAACACACACATAAAGTCTGTCACAGGGTGAGCCAAGCGTCACAGAGAAGAGACTACATGGGAGGTGCGTTCCCTGCCAGGGCTCCTCTGAAGACCAGTTACCATGTGCGCTCCAAGTGGCTCCTTTGTCATAATGGGTGAAATCACTGGCAGTTGGCCACTAGATTAAGGACTGGATGGATCTAGTTTTACCTTCTGATCCTGAAATTTGAAACAGAAATCATGTCCTGGTATCTTTTGGGCTTCTTTATCAGTAGCAGAACAGTCAGGCTCTCTAGCACCAAGGAGAAAGCATGCAGTTGGAAGACTAGAGAGCAGGGCCAGCTGAGAAACAACGTACAGCAGCAAGGGCAGGTAAAACCAGGGCAGGGTGACTCTTCTAGAGCCAACCAACAGGTCCAGAGGTGGAAGGTGCTGAGGAAGACCTGACTTGTTTACCCCAAGAACAAGAACTCGGCAAAGTAGAAAGCACATGGGTGGTAGAAATGGACGGATCCACGTTCAAATCCTGGCTCTGCCACTGATTAGCTGTGTGATCTTAAAAGTGCTACTTAATTTTTCTCTGCCCCAGTTTACTCAGCTCTTTGCAAGGTGATAAGATTGAAAGGCTAATATATGCAAAGTGCCCAGCATAAAATAGTTGTTCAGTAAATGGCAGTTTTTATTATTAGTACTGTCTTGTCAGCATAAATAATTATTAATGCCAATGGCCCCTGCCAGCATTCAGTAACACCTGCCATGTGGTCTGAGAATTATCTGGACATTTCTGTTTTCCTAGCTACTTTGGCCCTATAGGCAAGACTGGACAGAAAATGGGCATTAAGATTTCCTAAAAGTCACATGATCCAAATATGACAGAGATGGGTAAGTTATCCTTAATCTATAGAGGGCTCTTAGAAAACAATGAGAAAAAGATTAATAGACCAGCAGAAAATTAAGCAAAAACCTTGAAAAAGCAACTCATATGAGAATATACACAAGGCTAACAAATACATGAGAAATGTTCAAACTTATTAGTAATCCTAAGAATGAAAACTGGAACAAGATAACATTTGAACTTGTTAAATCATCAAATAGCTGACAATCTTTGGTGAGATACTGGCCAGAGTTGAGAAAACAGCCACTCTCATACATTCCTGATGGGAGTATTAATTGGAACAATATTTCTGGAGGGCAATTTAGCAATGAGTATCAAAAGCCTCAAAAATAGCACACTCTCAGACTCAGCACTCCACTTCTAAGAATTTATGCTTTAGAAATAATCATGAATGTGTGCAAAAATCTAGCTATAAGGATATTCATTTGATTGCAATATTATTTTGAATAACGAAAACCTGAAAATAACCAATATATCCAATGAGAGGGAATTGGTTAAATAAATTATGAAACATGGGCCAGGTGTGGGGTCTCACACCTGTAATCCCAGCACTTTGGGAGGCCGAGGCGGGCAGATCACGAGGTCAGGAGATCGAGACCATCCTGGCCAACATAGCGAAACCCTGTCTCTACTAAAAATACAAAACATCAGCCGGGTGTGGTGGCGCGCCCCTGTAGTGCCAGCTACTAGGGAGGCTGAGGCGGGAAAATTGCCTGAACCCAGGAGGCGGAGATAGCAGTGAGCTGAGATCACACCACTGTACTACAGCCCGGGCAACAGTGCAAGACTCTGTCTCAAAAATAAATAAATAAAATAAAATAAATGATGAAACACATTTACAATGGAATACATAATAACTAGGAAAGGTAGTCACTATAATCAACACAATACAAAATTATCCCATTTTTATAAGTTACAGGAAATAAACAAAAGGTCAGCACTGGTTAATTCTCGGTGACAGGCGTATAGGCTAGCTTTTTTCTTCTTTTTGTTGATGTGCAACTCCTACAGTGATCACATATCACTGTTCCAGGAAGAAAAAGGATCATTAAATAAATCTGCTCATGGAGGCCCAGACCCTCCATGAATGCAGCTCAGTGCACCCAGCCTAGAGGCTCCTCAGCCCAGTGCCTATTCTTGCAGCCTCCAGTCCCCTCTCCTCCCAGCCCGGAGTGTGTTCTCAAGGCCGTGTCACTGCTTTCTGCTCCTCTCTGAGCCCCTCCCTGCACTGCATGACTCCAGGCCCAGGTCCGCCACTAGCTATCACCCCAGTGGATCACGTGGTCTCCTCACCTCCATTCCCCCACCTGCAAGTCCCATGACCTAAGGCTTACCCTCCGCTCTAATCTCCAGGACACAGCACTCTGAAAATAAAACTGTTCCACTGAATTTGGTT